GGCCTGGGAGACAGAGGGGCAGAGAGGCGGCCTGCGCTGTACCCAGGGGCATGCAAGGGTGTGCGAGGTTTCCTCCAGTGGGCTGGATGCTAAGAAGGTAACGAGGCTTGAGCTCTTTCCTGCATCTCATTAAGGGGGGCGGGGGGGCCTCAGGTAAGTGGCCCCAGCAGCCACTGATGGGCGTGAGGACTGAAGCAAGGTCATGGGGAAGAGGCTTTGCTGGAACCAGATCTCCAAGCAGGGAAGTGTGTGGGGAGAGACTCCCAAAGGGGACTTGGAAGGACTTGCTCCCACAGCCCACAGGAGAGCCAGCTTTAGAACCTGCCCCGAAAGGAACTGACCACAAACCGATTAGCTAGAGAAGCAGCCACAACCCACGGGGAGAGGATGGATACCTCCTTTTGGACTCAGTAAGGAAGAGCCTCAGCCTCCTCCCCGTTCCCGCTCTCCCACTACCCCCCAACCACCACCTAAGCTCCAGGAAGAGGGATGGCCACAACGCAACAAGGAAACCAGGCAGCTCCCAGAGCCACCGCCTCCCCCTGCCCTGGGGGGGGGGGGGGGGGGGGGGAGGGGGCAGAGAGGAGAGCTCAGACCTGAGAGATGCTATAAAATTAATCAGGCTGAGGCTCGCATACTGGAATGAGATGCTAATAACCAGCAGGCGATGGAAAGCTGCAGGACTTGGCCTGAAGGTCACCAACAGAGCCATTCCCATGAAGCCTTGGGAGGAGCCATATAATATCACTGGGAGCCACTACTGAAAAAAAAAAAAATCTTTTCATGGTGATACCATGAACTGAGACTTCCCATTTAGCCAGTTCCAACTGACTCAACATTATTTACCTATTATGCGCCTGGTATTAGGTCTAGTAATTGAAAAAAGACAACTGGAGTCATATTTCAGGAACCCACATATTTAAGGGGGAGACTCAGATATATGAACCGACAGTTTTAATATTCTACAATCAGGTATACATGAGGTTCAGCAAAGACACAATAATACTTATATCAAATAGAGTTTTCTATGTTTCATTTTCCTCATCTATAAGATGGGAATGACAATAGCTCCTACCTCATAGGATGATTGGTTGGATTAAATGAGTTATTTTATGTAGAACAGTGCTTGGCATAGTAAATTGAACACTTGTTAGTGTTTAATGCTGTAGTTATTATTGTTATCTTATGTTAAATAGCGAGGCACTGTTCCAAGCAGGCTAAATGCTTGCTTATCTCAACAATTCTATGAAATAGGTACTATTTATTATTCCCATTTTACAGAGGAGAGAACTGAGAGGCACAGGAAGGATAAGCAGCTTGCCCAACACACACAGTAGAACTGGGATTCAAACCGAGGCTGTCTAAATCCAGAGTCTGCACTCACAGCTCAGGGGTCTCGAATGGCCAATTTTGCTGGGTACTTCTGGGAACACAAAGGCTAAAATGGTTTTTTCCAAAACAGCGACCAATAAAATATAGTCCTAAAATAACTTGCAACAAAGAGGTCTGGCTCTGCCTGAACTTTCTAAAAAACGTTCACATGAATTCTTCAATCCCATTTCAAATTAGAAAAGGCAAAAATTCATTTGGGGGGTCCTGGGTATGCAGATACAAGCTCCCCAGCTGGTATGACTCGGGCCTCCACCCTGGCATGTTGATCCTTCAAGCCTGCATCCGGCTCTTGCAGAAAGCTGCATCCTGCCCCTCAGCCAGGTGCCTTGTTTGATTTGGATGCCACGCCTTCCAAAGGGGAATTTCAGGTCCTCGAAGTATAGCCTGGGCAAGCAATGCTTGCTCTTGGTGTTTATATAACCATCCCAGCTCCAAAACAAGGGATGCTGGTACTCTGTAATTACAGGCTTTGTAGGCCTGTCGCTGGGGAGAGAAGACAAGGATAATAGCTCCATCTGCCTGTGGAATCCAAGCTCTCTCCTAGAAGACCAAGAAAGCTCCCGGAAAAGGATGCAGGAGACAAGATCCCCTAGCACCACCATTCAAAACATCCATTTTTATTAAATAAACAGAATTTGGCTGCTTCTAAACTGAGCATGACTGTGGCCTTGCAAATGACATCATCACATCTGGGTAGCATTTTGATAAATTGAGAGCTCCTTTAAGTTCCCAACCACATAAACCACCCCCCCCAACATGTTCTTTAATCAAGAACAGCAAGAGTTCAACTTGGGAAGCATAAAAGAGACACACTCATTAATCCATACCATGTATCAGGATTCCAGATATCAAAACCTTGCTTCTCTTTTACAAACCACTAAATTGGAGCTGGTGTCCAGTGCTCCCATGTGGAGCTGGAGGTCCCAGCTTTTAATTCTACTGCATTTCACCAATTCCAAGATGAACATCCTTTTCATTCTTAGTATCTTTGAATTCAAGCTGTATCTTATAACCACTGGCATCTTAGATTCAATGAAGCACAGACTCATGACTGAAACTCATGTACCCCATCAATTCTATTCTTCAATCCCTCCCTGATGGTTCCCTTCCTTCTCCCCCAACTAGAGCTGTCAACATTGCTTGCCTGGAAGTCTGCAGGAGGTACTTAACATGCCCCCCCATCTCTAGCTGGAACCCCTCCAACACATCCATCTTACTGCTTCTAGAATGCATATCTAATCATATCTAATTGTTGGACCTGGGGGATAGGTAAATGAAGATTCTTTTCACTATTTTTTTTTTCTATTTTTGGCAGGTATTGTGGTTTCAGGCTGCTGTAACAAAATCCCCTGGACTGGGACCTTAAACAATAGAAATGCATTCTTCCACAGTTCTGGCGGCCGGGAAGTCCAAGATCAAGGTCTGGCGGCATCCGGTTTCTGGTGAGAGCTCTCTTCCGGACTTGCAGAGAGCCTCCTTCTCCTTCTGGCCTCACATGGCAGACACCTGATTGCACCTCATCTGAACTTCCTCCCATCTCCCGTCACCTTGGAGGTTAATGATGGCTTCAACGTGAATTTCAGGGGGACACAATTCAGTCCACAGCAGTAGGTCTGAAAATATACATAATAGGGGCACCTCAATGGCTCAGCCAGTTGAGCATCTGAGTCTTAATCTCAGGGTCATGAGTTCAAGCCCCATGTTGGGCTCCACGCTGGGCATGGAGGCTACTTTAAAAAAAAAAAAAGGAAAATATACATAATAAAATATGTAACACATCAGTGAGGATGCCCCAGACTATTAACAAAGGTTACCTCTCCATTGGGGGGGGGGGAGACTGATTTGGATGGACACAGAAGAGAGCCATGAAAGGGGACTTTCTCTCTTCAACTGTTAAATGACTCTGGGTTGTTTGAAAGTTTGGCAAGAGTTGCTTTTGTCGTTTTTATAATAATTTTTCCAATCACTTCAAGGCATCTCTTGATACTGGTCTAACACTGAAGCAGACTGAACCACAATATATAACTAAGTCTGTAGTCATTTTGCTCTAAAAAATAGTCTAGATCTCAGTATTGTTGTTCACAATACTCCCTGGAGGCACATTTTTTAAAAGATCTATTTACTTATTGAGAGGTGGGGGGCAGAGGGAGAGAATATCCAAGCAGACACCCACTGAGCGTGGAGTCCAACACAGGGCTCAATCCCACAACCCATGAGATCAGGACCTGAGCCGAAACCAAACGTCGGGTGCTTACCTGACTGCGCCACCCAGGCGCCCCCGTGGGGGCACATTTTAAAAAGAAAACAGATTCACAGTCCTCGGCCAGGCTTACTGAATGAGAATCTCCAAGGACAGAATCCCCAGATCTCTAAAATCTTAAAACATCCCTGAGAATGCTGATGTAGTCAGTCCAAGGACAGAAGTTTTGGGACCCCTGATTTAGGGAAAAATATGAAAAATTTAGGTCAATTCATTCATGATACTGTGATGTCAGCCTGTGTTTTGGTCTTATATTTACAGTAAACGACGGACTAACTTTAACATATCATTTGCTTTGAGAACTTGCTGCATCACGCTGAGGAGTGAATTAGACATTAGAAACAGGTGCCCTGACATCATGTATCTGCGCTATAAAAATATGAGGAAAACCCAAAGAAGTTGGGTCGAAGGCTCTGCTAGAGAGAACTCACAAAAGAGAAGGCACAGATGAGTGAGGGAACCAGTCCAAACTTCCTACTTTATTATAAGTTCCAGATGAGGGGCAAACCGCTCAACCAACACTGGCCTGGATATTTTCCATTTGCTGCTCGAGATCTGCTCTCCACCCCTGTCCATCCTCTTTGTCGCCCGAGAGGCTGACCCATGTGAACTGTATCGTGGGTCCCCTGCCTGTAGCTCTGCTTCGATGAGGCCAGTGGAAGAAAGAGAGACTTCTGGGTGGCGAGACAGAGTGAAGGGAGAGCGCTTATGCCCACGGACATCTTCCTGCCAGGCCATGGCGGCTGTCAGTGGACCCTCTCCTGTAGCTTTCTCCCTGGGTCTGGGCACGTCCTCCCTCCCCTCACTCCTTTAGGCGTAGGGGCTGCAAAAAGTTTTCCTATTGCTGCTGTAACTACTTACCACCGACCTGGTGGCTTAAAGCAACACATTTATTATATTATAGTTTTGTAAGTCAGGAGTTTAAAATGCGTTGACAGGGCTGCGTTCCTTCCAGAGGCCTTGGGGAGAATCCACTCTTTTGCCTTTTCCAGTGTCTAGGGGCACTGGAAGGCCCACATTCCTTGGATCTCGGCCCCACACAGCTCCGACCTCTGCTTCCATCATCCAATGGTCTCTGACCATCTGGCCTCCGTCTTGTAAGGACTGCTTGGTCCCAGGCACCACGATCTTTGGTCCAGACCACCTCAACAGAATTTTTATCCTGTCTAGTCCACAGCAGCAAATCAGATCACATCACTCATCTATTTAGGACCCTTTGGTGAGTTTCCATTACACTTCAAATACAACCCAATTTCTTACGAAGAGCGGATAAGACCCTCCATTGTCTGCCCCTGCCTACCCTTCTGGCCCCGCCTCATCCCCCCTTCCTTGTTATGCTCCAGCCACAGGCCTCCTCTTTGAGGCCCTCCAACTTGTGGAGCTCTTTCCCACCTCAAAGCCTTTGTCTGTATTGTTCCCCTTGCTAGGCTCTTCCTATCGTCGGGTCTTAAATGCCACCTACTCAAGGAAGCCCTCCTTTCCTACCCCAAGCAAAGTAGGATCTGACCTCCCCTTTCCTGTCCCAATTCCATTATTCTGTATCTCAGCCCTCTGATTATTTCCTTGGTGGCTTTATTACAATTTGTAATTATTCCATTACATTCTTTGGGTTTTAATGTATTCCCTACTAGACTGCAAGTTCCACGAGCACAAGGCTTATGTCTAGTCTGATATTGTCTCCGTATGGAGTCTGACAAAGCAGGCCCTTAGTGTAATATTTGTTGTATATGGTATATGGCCATTTCTTAGACTCTAGGAGGCAATGCGTAATCAGGCCATGACTGTAGACTTTCTTGCAGGGTGGGCCAGTTCCCTTCACTTGTTTACCAACCCTCTAACCTGATCCGCTGTCACGATCACTGTATCTCCAGCCCCACTACAGAGCCATATGTACTACATGCACTGAGTAGAAATCCTCACCACCACTATTCATTTCGACTCACTAGCTACTTAGGAACACTAAGCACTGTGTGTCTTACATAGCAGAGGTAAGTAGCATCACCTACTTAGTACTGAAGAACAGCACTACGATACTTATACATGCAAATAACAGCAGGGATTCACTGTGATCCTTATTATAGGCCAGGAACTGTGATAAGTCTGTTACATGCATCATCTCATTAATCTTCACAATAGCCCCACAATGCTATAGCACATCAACAAAGAACCCAGGTTCTAGAATCATACTGATTTGGGTTCAAATGCCAGTTCTGCTACTCTTGTGAGGTTCCTTAACATCTCTGTGCTTCCGTTTCTTCATGGGTGAAATGGGGGTACCAGTTGTTACCGAATCTTAGCGTCATCAAGAGGAGTAAATGGGATCATGTCCGTGAGGTGCTTCACTCGGTGTGTGGAACACAGAAAGCGTTCCAAAAATGCCAGATGCTTCTTCTTAACTTGCTCTTCTGTGGGACACTTTATGGCCTGCAGCATCCAACTCTGCATCGAACACAGAGGGAGAACAAATGATCCGGGCTGAGCTCCTGCCCTTTGGGAGCACACAATCAGAGACAGCTGTGAGCACATACTTAGAATCCAAGAGAAGGCAGTGAGTGTGTTCCTCCAAGTGGCTGCATTCATTTTATGGTGTAAAGCTCAGTAACCCTATGTTCTCATTTCCTCTTTCACCAAAATAGCTATCTCTGCTCCCTGAAGAGGCCCTGGATTATTATAGTCCCTCGAATGCCCTGAAATTCTCAGGAGAGTAGGAATGTTTTTTCAAAAGAGGCACAGCTTGGAGCTAGGAGACAAAAGGTTAAATTCTCTTAAGCTACGACAATGTAACTCATTTCCTGTTTTTCTCAACTGTCTAGACACAGATCTCATAAGCATTAGCCATGAATCCCACCATCACGTTAAAAATAGAAAGTTTAAATATGAAATGCTGTGGTGGAGGAAAGATTGTAGGTTTCTACCTTCATCCACAAAATGACTACTTTGAAACAGGACTTTTTGTCTTTGGCGTCAGCTTTCCCCTAAATTCTGTGATGCTGTATTTCAACAGCAGGAGTAGAGAACACTGCTTTTTCTACAGAATATATCTGCCCCTCAGGAAAGTGAACGCAATTTTCCCTCTAGGTTTGGAAAGCCATTTGAAGACGAACTTACGGCAGCTTCTCTTAACAAGGAATGTGGTCACACATCAAAGTTTCCAGGTTATTGCAGAGACCAACATTTCGTCCCAAATCAATTTGTGCAACAGAAAAGCCATACAGGTTAGACACGCTTACTTTTTCTTCTTATATCTTCCCCTTCCATAAAGTTTCTGACAAATGTTTTCTTCTGAAAATATATTTTTTCTGGAAAATGCGTTTTTTTGAACTCCTGTAATAATTCCTGGGCAGTGTTACACAGTGTGGGGGATCTACCATGACAAGTTTCCCAAATTTATTGGACCACAGAGCCCTTTTATCATAAGCCTTTTAACACTTCCCCAAACAATATTCCATGGAATTGCAGTTTAGGAAACATGCACTGGATACCTCTATGATTCTTTATTTCTGGTTTCAGAATTATATAAGGTTAGATCTCTTCCCTAACAATCTTAGCTATCTGAATTATAAAATTGGAAGTGAACTAGTACTATTGACTCTGCAATGTTGTAATGGACCTGTTGTTCTCTTTATGACTGGGAGACAGAAGCCTGCCTTACAGACACCCATGCATTTACTTTAGAAGGACTGTATTCATCATGGCTTTTAACAATGGAACAGACACATATTGAAATAAATGTAGATGTATGTGTTAGTATACGTACAAATATTTCCTTGTTCTGTCCACTAAAAGGGCCAAGAAGCAATGAGCACACCCATTACCAAGATCTTGGTTTCAAAACCGATACTCTTGATAAAAGGAACTAATGTTTTTCCAAAAAAAAGTCTGATCGCAGGGTTGGGGCAAGGAAAATACAAGATGAGCCGAGGGGAAAAAGGAAAGTGCCAAAAAGTAAGAAGTACTCACAAATGGTGGAGTACGTTGAAAGGATACAGGACCCAACCTAATTAAGCTCCTAATGGGCAAAGTGGGGACAATTTGAGCAACAAAATAAATAATGACAGTATGAGATTATAACCATAAATTAAAATAAATAGCCTAAGCCCCTCCTAATATAAATATATAAATGAGGGAGAAGGAACAACTCTTCCTGACAGAGAAATTACAATGAATAAATGGAGAAGGCACAGAGGACATAGAAAATCCCCAATGAGCAAACATCACGGTAATATCTTCCCATCCCCCCACGCTCAACAGCTAACAGTTCCAATCATTTTCGTCCACTGAAATTAAGATAATCTAACTCCAAAGTATCCTTGAATGAGGAAATAAGTAACGAAAGCACAAAGGTAGCGGCGGAGAGGGAGGCAGGCCGATGGGAAGAAGGAAAACATTCTGGCTAATTAATGGTTAAGAATATGCATGTACCCTACCCTCAGCTCTGCAATTTTCTAACAGTGACCTGGGCAACTTATCCTTTCTGACTCCTTCTTCTCAACTGAAAAAAAAAAAAAAAAGTTTTAATTAGTGTAGTGGGATGAAGAGTGTACCCCCCAAATTCACGTCCACTCACAAGTTCAGAATGTGACCTTTTTGGGAAATAGGGTCTTTGCAGATGTACATAAATTATGATAAGGTCATACTGGCTTAGGGAGGACCCTAACTCCAACGACTGGTGTCCTAATAAGAAGAGAGGACCCACAAACAGAGAGAAGGCCGTGTGACAACAGAGAAAGAGATCCTAGTGATCGCACTGCAAGCCAAGGGACAAACACCAAGGATCACCAGAAACCACCGACTGCTAGGAAGAGGCAAGGAAGGATTTTTCCCTCGCGCCTTCAGAGGAAAGATGCCCCTGCTGACACCTTGATTTCAGACGTCAAGCTTCCAGAACTGTGAGAGAATACCTTTCTGTTGTTATAAGCCATCAAGTTTGTGATCATTTGTTTTGGAAGCCCTAGGAAACTCACAGAGTAAGCAATACAGAAGGCGCTGTATATAAAGGGGCTAGCAGAGGGCCATTAATCATCTTTGAGCCACATCACGGCTCTGCTTTAGTCAGGAGGAAGGAGGAGGAAGGTCAGGCTTGATTATACTGTTTCTCAGCTTTGGATATTTTAGCACTAGTTGGCACACTCCCTGCCTTTTCCCTACCCACAACTACTCTGAGTCACTGCCCAGCTACCAGGAACTCTCAAATTCTGGAAAGCAGCCTCCGCCGCTATCCATTTCAGGAGTGGGAGTGGGATTAAGACCCCTATCAAACAGTAACACCACAGAGCAGTACATACAGATTTGAATTGATCCTTCCATCTCAACAGCTAAAAAATGTTCTCTGGGCATGAGAGGTCATGTTATGGAATTGTGCTCCCCAAAAAGATAGGTTGAAGCCCTAATCTCTCCAGTACCTTGAATGTGACCTTATTGGGAATTAGGGTCATTGCAGATATGATTAATTAATTTAAGATGGGATCCCACTGGAGTAGGGTGGGTCCTTAACCCAATGACTGGTGTCCTTATACAAAGAAGAGGCAGAAACACACAGGCAGAGGAAAAGCATGTGACTTGGAGACAGAGATCAGAGTGATACATCTACAAGCCAAGGAATGTAACCCTCAGAAGCTAGAAAATGCAAGAAAGGATTCTCTCCCACCAGTTTCAGAGGAAGCATGGCCTGATGATACATTGATTTCAGAATTCTCACTTCCAGAACTGTGAGAATACATTTTTGTTGTTTTTATTTTTAAGATGTATTTATTTATTTTAGAGAGAGAGAAAGAGGGAGTGTGTGAGCAGGGGGGCAGGGAGGCTGAGGGAGAGAAAGAGAGAGAAAGAGAGAATCTCAAGCAGACTCCCTCCTGAGCATGGAGCCTGATGCGGGTCTCCATGCAGGGCTTGATCCCAGGACTCTGAGATCATGACCCGAGCTGAAATCAAGAGCCGGTCGCTTAACCAACTGAGCCACCCAGGGGCCCCTGTTGTTTTGAGCCAGTTTGTGGTGCTTTGTTTTGCAGGCCTGGGAAACATATATAATTGCTTTAACAAGGCTACATTTTGACACGTGGTGTCCATGATCTCCAAAAGTTCACATTATGAAATAAGTGGATACCGTCAGCATAGGTACCCTTGTAAGTGTCTGTGGTGGTTATTCTTTATTTACACATATGCTTCTCCATTTTCTACCCTTCTCTGCAGCCTGATTCCTAAGGACTGCGGTATCCAGGCTCCCTTGTCCTTAGCTTCTGGTTGGGTTTGGCCGATGAGAGACAACAACTGGGAATTTGAGGGTAGAAGACATAAGGTTGGAGATTTCTTGCTCTCTCCCTGCCTCGGTGTTCTGGCAATGTCTTCATCTCTCTACCACTACAGCTCCCGTTGGGCACCGCTACCCATTCTCACCCAACATCTTCAGCTCTCTCTGAGCTCCATGACACATTGTCCTCCTTTTTCTCCTTTAGCCCTTGTGGTGAAAGAGCTTCCCTCTGCCACCAGTCCCTGAGAGCCTCAACATCCCCAATTGTTCTCTCTACCCCTGCCTACTACGGAATGCATGTTTGTATCCCCTGAAAATTCCTATGTTGCAGCTCTAGCCCACACTGTGGTGGAATCTGGAGGTAGGCCACTTGGGAGGTAAATAGGTATAGATGAGGTCATGAGGGTGGGGTCCCCATGATGGGATGAGTGCCCTTTTAAGAAGAAGAGAGACTAGAGCTATCTCCCTCCAGGTGAGGACAAAGAGAGAAGGCAGTCATCTACAAGCCAGAAGAAAGCCCTCGTCAAGAACCAGTTGGCCAACACCTTGATCTTGTACTTTCCAGCCTCCAGAACTGTGAGAAATAAGTGGCTATTGTTTAAGCTACCCAGTCTGTGGTATTTTTTTATAGCCTCTCAACCTAAAACATTGTCCCATCTGGGTATATAATCCCTTCATTAAGTCCTCTTCAAAATCCCAGGTAAATATGCCTTAGATTTCCTCCCAAGACCCTGACTAACACAGTGGCCATGTTACAAAGCCAAAGGCGTATAAACCTGACCAAGGCTAACTCTATAAGGGTGACTAAAAACTGCAGTTGTCCCCCCTGGACACTGGATTCTTAACTACAATAATTAATTAGTTTATGAACTGCAAGCGTCCATTCAAGTCCATCCAACCCAATAAACTGCCTTTGACAATAACTGAAGAAGTGCCTTAACTCTGGGTTCTAGGAAGACTACAAAATAATACACTAAAAATTATTGAACCAACATTCTACAAAACACATGCCCAATTCTCCTCAAAATTGTCAAGGTCATAAAAAACAAAGAAAGATTAAGAAACTGTAAGAGACCAGAGGAGACTAGAGACATGATAACTGAATGCACTGTGGTATCCTAAATTGAACTGTAGAACAGAAAAAGGACATTCGTGAAGAAAAACTAGTGAAATCCAAATAAGGACTAGAGCT